CGCGTGGCCCCGCCCCCGCTCCAAGACGCGAGGGTGTGTGGAGGGCCGTGCTCGCAGCCGATTGGTGAGAGCAGGTGCCGCTGACGGCGTCGGGTGTCGGCATTGGGCCACAGGCCGGCAGAAGGCAGGCTGCCCCTAAGGTGGGCGGGGTCAGGACGTAGGTCCGTGCTCCTAGCGGCCAGGCCAGATGCCCCTCCCCCTCCGCACGGGAACCTCTTCTTGGGCGGGAGCTGGAGCGACCCGACCGACAGTGGAGGGATGGACCAGCCAGGGTGGGAGGAACAGGGTAAAGTCTATACTTTCCTTAGGCGGCAACCGCTGCCCCAAGGCCTCTGACCCGCTGCTTACGGATTTTGCACACCGGTCCAAGACATCCGCTAGTTGGCAAAAGGGCGCTAATGCGAATTCTGTGTTCAGGGATCCAGCAGTTCCTGTCCTGATCAGTCCTAGGGGGTAGAAGGGCCCCTCAGGAAGACATACTCAGTGCGCCAGTTCCCTATTTGTGACTCAAAAAACAAAACACAGTTGGGAGTGTTCTGTTGCTAAATTACACTGCCGTCAGCCCATCTATTCTGACATATCACCAAATGAAAAGCACTTGAGCTTTTTTGTTGTTCATCTTCACCCAAGGATATTTTCCCATTGATTTTTAGAGAGTGGAAGGGAGGGGAGAGACTGAGAGATTTGGATGTGAGAGACATAGATTGGTTGCCTCCCACACGTGCCCCGACCAGGGCAGGGGTTTGAGCCTGCAAGGTAGGTATGTGATCTTGACTGGAATTTCTATCCACTGAGCCAAACCGGATAGGGTGAGTTTTTTTTTTTTTAAATCCTCACCAGTGGACATGCTTAGAGAGAGAGAGAGAGACATCAACATGAGAGAGAAACATTGATCAGTTGCCCTAAGGGAGAGGTGGGATACAGGAATTGAACCTGCAGCTTTTCTGTGCACAGGACAATGTGCAACCAACCTGAACTGTTTTTAAAGTGCATACTTAAAAAAAAAAAAGGCAGAAACAATAATTATTAGATCAAGTATTAGTATGTATTTATGCACAATAATAAAAACAGATTTACAAGTTAAACTGGAAATTTAAACATAAGAAGTTTAACAGCTTTTGTTTATTATATTAAATAACCAAAACACCTTTTATTCCCAAAATTGGTAAAGAATAAATAATGTAATTTACAATATGGTACAAAAAGTAATCAGGAAGGACAGGCATTCCGCTTTATACATACACTGTATATGTATATTTATTAACTATTAAACAAATTCACATCTCAAACAAGCCGAAAACCTTAGATGATATGGCTTAACGATTATTAAAAGAAACAGCAGTAAGTTCTGCTGCCTGGGCCAGAAGCTCTGGAGCCAGTTATCCTGTTACAGAATGAAGGGTACAGGTTGCTGTAGTGCTTCCAAGACTGAACTTACTTAACATGACTTACACATTACTGTGGGATTAGGAGAGAGCTTTGATAGTCAGGAAAGGTTTGCTGTGGTTTCTTTCTTTTTCCCCCCTTAAGACAAAGTGCCCTATTTCCTCACGAATGCATCTGATAGGTCTCAAAGTTTTAAACAACAAAAACCCACAGCAGCTGCTGTTCTCGTCCACTAGTTTCCAGTGCTTCTGTTCCATCATATTTCTCTGCACAGGTTTGGACTGGATGGTAAAAATGCTATTACACTGAAAAGGAAACCCATCAGTAGTGACACAGAATGATAAAGAATGGGACTCTGAGGCTGAGAACCCAGAGATGTAGGGAAGCAAGCAGATCAACTTACGAAATGTTTCCAATTATCCCCACTCCCAGAGCAAGTGCTCTACACCTAGAAGATACAGAGAAATAAAAAAATATCATCCTAAACCTCATGTGGAACCATAAACTTCGATCTGCCTCTGCATTTTCTAAAGAAGAAAATGCTCACCACTGGATAGTCACAGTAAGAGTTAAGGCCACACCACCAACTCCCTTAAGACCGGAGACAATCTCACTCTTTACAAAAGATGAATCAGCAAAAAGATGCCAGACATTAGAGTGACCTCGGAAATAGGTCTCAGAAACTGACCTGTTCTTAATTATAACATGCTCAAGGAAGCCACAGGTGCATACTGAGACTATGACGCCTGCCACTGGAGAGACAGAGAAAGATGCAGGAGGTGGGAGGCTTGGGTCTTTTGAAAATCCCAGCCTTTAACAATTACTTATTTTGTGTGTGTGTGTTCTTCACCTTGCTTTTCATATCTGTTTTGAGTTGCCCAGCCTTTAACAATTACTTATTTTGTGTGTGTGTGTGTTCTTCACCTTGCTTTTCATCTGTTTTGAGTTGAAAAGGATTCCACTTAAAAAAACATCTCCTACAGATCAGTGGAGCTTTTCTTTCCCATCCAAACATACAACATGCCCACCACCCCTTACCTTGCCGTTTCCAAATTTAAGTCAATAGGAAAGCTTTGAGTCTCACACCTGGGTTATGCCTGGAGAACTGGCTTGTCACATACACACTTCTCTGGTTGCTTGGGAAGCAGCAGAATTCTCTGGAATCTTGTGAGTTTTATTAGAGGTGAGAAGAGTCGGTCTACTCTCCTCCCTGGCCCACTTCCCCACTGAATGACACTGGCCAGCCAGCTACTCCCAGACAGATTCTATGCCAGAAACCCAGGCAGGGGGTGCAGCTAAATAGCTACAAAAGCTGATCTTGAGTCTCAGAGTTTTTCTCCTTTTAGGTGTCACTGGGTGACAGGTGCCAGCCTACCGACTAGACTGCCTTGAGGTGACCCTGATGAACAAGCAGCTCAGGAGCCCTACTGTCTCTGGCACAGTACACACTGCCATTGGGCATCACATTGCAGCTCTGATGATACTTGATCGGTCCTGGTCCCAGACAGTGGAGGAGTGTGAGGAAGCTAGTCATGGCCTAAACTTGGCCTGGTCTATTATCCTACTGCAGACCTAACACAGTCAGATGCCCCGAGAGTGAGTGTCAGAGAGTGAGAGAGAGATCGATCCTGATCTTGTTCAGCTCAATATAAGGTGCTAATTTCAGAAAGCTGATATATTGATCACAAAACACAAGTAGCTTAAAAATACTCTGGTCCAATGTTGTTGATATCTCTTAATAAAGTGTTAGCATGTTCCTTTCTTTCATATCTCCAGAGCTTTGAGACTTTTCCTAAGAGCCCAAAAGGCTTTTTCTTAGTGATGTTGGTGCCTAGAACCAGATCTGAAAGAAGGAAGCCACATTAGAGGCAAAAGCTCGAGAAACAATTGAAACAAAGAAAAGAAGCTATTGCCTAGAAGCCAAATGCCCTGTTTCCTCCATGGCTGGGAGCGAATGACCCTGCCTGCAGCCTAAAAGGGCTGCAAACAGCTGGCAGCTGGTGAGACAACGGGATCAAGAGTGTCCACTCTCCTTGCATACACAAAAGACCTTTCTTCTCCTTTCCACACAGGCTGACCTCTCATTGTGGAGAAGCCTCTGTAGAGGACCAGGGCTGGCCTCAAGAGCTGCCTTCTCCGCCAGTCAGGGCAAGAGGAAAGGTGAGCAACAGAGATGGAGATTGGTTCAGGTGGATGATCCTGGCTGTCAGGGGAGGGTGAAGCAGCAGGTGGGATGGTGGCTCAGGTATTACTAGTCCAACACAAGAGCACTGGCTTCTGGCCACACGTAATGTGGCTAAAGGGTGAATTAAATGTTGCGTTTCCCAAGGCTGAGCAAACACAGGAGCCTTGTTAGCTCCATTCCGGGGGAGAACTGGAAACTGGACTACTTGCAATGGTAACTGGTCACCCAAGGAGGCTCACGGAGTACAATACAGCGATGTGGTAGTGCTCTAACTGCATCAGGATGTATGATCCTTGTCTGCATTCCCTGAACAGGAAGGAGCAAAATAAGAGACCACTGGGCAAAAGAAGACATGGGGGATTAAACCTGCACATCACAGTGTGCTCTGCTCTTAGGCCAACGAAAGGAAGAGAAGACCGAAAAAAAGAAATTCCCCTGAAAAGTATATTTGTCTCAGATGCTAAACAGTAACACATCAGAAGTTCAAGGACTCATCAGGAAAGTCTTAACTGTGGTTAAACAAGTGCTTAGGATCATCCCAATAGAAGTAACGTTATAGATCACCTAGAAGAAACTTTAGATGGATGCAAGAAGGAAACCAACTAAACGGGTTTACCTCCTCATTGTCTAATTCTTAAAACAAAAGAAAAACATTCTCCAAGCAGCTTAGCAGGATTCTTTTCTGAAAGTCCATATAACCTGCACAAGACATGATTCTTTCCCCGTCCTGTTCAGAAAACACATCTAAATAGGGAAGCACTAGGCAAGGATCAGTATTTCTGGGGTGATGGCTCCAGTTACGCTGCCCTGGGACCCTTCTGCTGTCCTGTGATCAGTGTCCCCATGAAGCTGTCTTAGGGTACAGATACTACCAGGCAAAGCCCAGGCCAGGCCCAGCTGTCCCGTCACCCCCTTCACCCCCTTCCATCATCATGCTGCAAAGAAGCAATCACATCAGTGTCCCCATGAAGCTGTCTTAGGGTACAGATACCACCAGGCCAAGCCCAGGCCAAGCCCAGCTGTCCCGTGTCACGCCGTCACCCCCTTCCATCATCACGCTGCAGAGAAGCAATCAAAGTGTGGTACAGGTTTTGCAGAAAGAATGCAGCCATGACCTGGAGCCTCCCTATAGAGAGCAGGGAGATTACAACTCCCCAGGGCACGACGACTACGCCGGGCACACACCCACTCCTTTCTTTCAGAAAGAAAACCCACTGAACTGTCCAACACAACCACCAAGGCAGATATGTGGTCATTACACAGACCCCAATATGAGATCCCACGACTGGCGAAGAATGGCTCCAATGCCAGTGATGTATGACAGTCCAGGACTCATCCTCATCTCTCAGGCCACTACGGCCCTCTCCCCGTTGGGATACAGCTTCCAGCATTTTGCGTATTCTGGGGTGCAGAGGTGTCTCTATTCTGACCATCTTCTGGGGGTCCTGGGCTTGATTTGTGTTTTCTCTACACCTACCACAGTTGAGGACTGGACCACCAGCCCTGTAAGCCCTCCTCTGAAGCCTCCAGGATGCCCCCACCATGAGTACGCTGTATGTTCACTGGGATAGGTCACTGACAGGGGGGCCACTTCCACTGCCATCAAACAGAACCTCTCGGCGGCTGGGCTCAGCGATGGACAGCTCCTGGGCCAAGTCGTTGAATCGAGATATATAATCAACGCTGTTTTCATTCATCATGCACACCAGCTGGGAATCCACGACCTGTGGGCAGAGGACACAAGGCAAGACCACATCAGCTGGTGGTGGCCTGCCACCTAGACGAGGAGACTCGCTACCACCAGGATTTCAGTAGAAGGTGAACTTGGGTCTCTCTACGGTGAAGATTGGAATCTCCCATCGACTTGCCATGTAACGGTGGCCTAGTACTCTGGGAAGAAGCTCAGAATCGCCCATCGTTTTGAACTCTCACTGTTTTGACAAGTGTGCAGGAGAGCCCACTGTGAGCCTGGCACAGCTGGTTGCTGGGATCAGAGCAGTGCTTCCCTTTATATGAGATTTGTCAGGGAAGACAGTTAAACAAACAGGCAAACGGCACAGAGAGGAAAGCAGAAACTGTGGGGTGGCCTGTAGGAGACGTAAGTGGAGAAAGTGGACAGAGTCTGCCCTGGGGGAAAGGGGAAGCACATTCCTGTGAGAAGAAACAGCAAGTGCAAAGGCCCTGAGGTGGGAACAGGCTTCGGCTCTTCCAGAAACAAGAAAGCTGGTGGATGTGACAGTGAGTAAGGACAACAGTTGAATAAGAGAAGAGAGACTTAAGTGTGTACAGCAGGGCCTTAGGTATTGGGATTTCATTCTGTGGACAAAACCATGGAACATTCTGCCATACAGTCTTCAGGATTTACTGTCTTCCTCCTTTGCTGGAGTGAAAGCCTCATGAGGACAGGGCCTTTGTTTTATTCACTCAGTGCCTGTAGCAGTGCCTGGCACATCATGAATAAATTGCACGATATAATGAAATAAAAAGCCTTGGAAAATTCTGAGTAGAGCTATGGCCTGAACCGAATTTTAAATCTATTATGAGAAATATAAAACAAACAAATTTGTTTTCAAAAAGTAGAGCAAGCCCTGGCCGGTTTGGCTCAGAGGTTGGAGTGTTGGCCTGTGGACCAAAGGGTCTTGGGTTCAATTCCCTGTCAAGGGCACGCACCTCGGTTGCGGGTTCTATACCCCGCCCCAGTTGGGGTACATGCGGGAGGCAACTACTTGATGTATCTCTCTCTCAAGTCATTTCCCCCCCCCCCGCCATCTC